TATGCTTCGTTCTTTATCTTTATAATTTTATGCTATCCTTTCGTTATTATTACCATGTTAATCATAATCGTTCTGCTTCGTATTGTCTCTATTCTATTCTTAATGGTGCTATCATTCTTTATATGCAGGGGTGGAGCTCAGACTTAGTAAAAATCAATTTAATTGGTACTAGCTGAGGTAATAATCTTAATCTCTTTTGGCTTACGGTAAACAAGTTATGTATGTGAATGGTCTATTCGCTCAATGCCTGACCACGTTATTTATTATTCACACTATAAATGTTTAATTAAATGAAATTGGAACATTTGACTTTGTGAGACTGTAACGGCAGAATAATTTGTAACGCGAGAGAGGAAATTAGCAGTTTTGACTGGAAATGGAAGACTGCATATAGAGGCTCCATCTAATCGTTCGAAATGAAAGTTGGAAATGAGTTATGGCATGATAGGGTAACCAGGCCTAGGGCTCTCAGAGAGAGTGGTTTGTGGTAGCAGCTTTTAATTCTTAGTTTTAAATACATAGTTATTCTTGGCGGAAATTTATAGAGGCAGAAAACTACAGGTTCTCGTTTTTGGAGCCATCTCCGATGAAGTTATTCTAAATAAGAATTCTTATTGAAGATTTACCACTTGTTTTGAAAGTCTTATTAGAAGCTGTTCTGCACGTGCCATCGTGTATATTGGGATGGAAATGTGAATTATTCCTCGAGTATGACGGTTACGCCGGCTGAAATCGAGGGAAACGAGTTGGACAATTGGTTGAGATGGCCAGCTAATATGTATTTGCTCCGTCTCTTTAGGCATATTCTTTTATGCCGGATATTCACCTAACTCAAATATTTCAGAAAGCTATTTATATACTTTTATATTGTTTACCTTTATTTTTTATTTGTTTGTTCTTTTCTTATTCCCTATAATATTCTGAGTCCAACATCCTCTTCTTCTTTTATGCATGTAGTTGTTGCTTTTTCTTTTTAATAACAGTTTTTTCTGTTTTTGACGTTTTCTTGCAAACTTACATACATTGAATACATCTCCGTCGAGCGGTGTATCTCTTGTATCACATATAAGGATTTTGCACATATTGTTGGCCCATTCAATATTTATGAACACTTATTTGCAAAGACAACTCCTTCGCTATGCATACTAATCGTTATTGGCTATTACAAAATGTCACCCTAGATTTTAGCCTTTCTTATTCAGGATCAACTTTTGTCATAATTGCCGGCCAGCATAAATATCTTGTGCTCAAGGCTCTTTTCTACAATACCCACATAACTCCTCTGGGCCTCTTAGTTAGTGGCCTTAAAACTTCCATATAATTAACCTCTCAATACAGCTTACGCTACCTCTGCATCGCTTCTAAGTTCTTGCCTCTTAGCGTGACAATCCAAGTTTTTCATTCTTACATTCTTACACATTTCCTCTACTACTTTCGTTGCTAACCTGTAACTTGATTTAAATGCATTACTATCATCGGGCTCATTTTCCGCTTCTGTCCTAATATGCTATATGCTTTTCCTTCTTACATTCTTTCCATATCTCCCTCCTTATTTTACAGGTGGAGAGGCTTATCTCCGCCTCTGTAGCGAGTGGTGCTGAGGTCCGTATCGGTGGCAATCGTCATGTTAGCGATACGGGCAAAGGTTTTTTCTTCCAGCCGACTGTACTTGCCTCGTGCACACCTGAAATGCCCTGTTGTCAGGAGGAAATTTTCGGACCTGTTGTTCCTGTGATCAAGTAAGTTTGGATGCTACCATTTCTTTCTCAGGGAATCATGTGTTGTACTCCGAAAATATGACCCCACATGCATCACTTTATTTACTTCTGACCCTCTCATTGATCAAATGATAGGAGGAAATGAACTATGGCATGATAGACTCCATTATTTTGAACCTGCTGGACTCTGGGTCACAATCTCACATGATCCGCGTCATGTAAAAATTGGCTTTGCCCTTGATTTTGCAACCACTGAGTTATACATGACCTTACAAAATCATTCCTGTTCTGTGTTGTAGCTCGGTACATCTTGAACTTTGCTTTCCACCTTTGGCTGTCATTTTTTTATTTTTACTTTCTCTTCTCAAGGTTTACTGATGAGGCAGAAGTAATTCACCTGGCCAATTCCACACAGTACGGTCTTGCTGGCTACATGTTTACTTGCGACTTAGCGCAAGCCTGGCGAGTTTCTGAACACCTTCAAGTCGGCATGCTTGGCGTGAACACCGGCCGCTTTAGTGCTGCCGAACTGCCCTTTGGCGGTATCAAGTATTCTGGTATCGGACGAGAGGGTGGGCCTTGTGCACTTGAGCAGTTTATGGACACACGCAGTATAGTCTGGCACTGATTCCTCTTATTTTACGCTGCCAGCTGGATCTTTTCATCAGTCACCTGTGTATTCAAATTATGTTCCCTGATCACTTATCGTATCATCCCATTTTCATCCCTCCAATCATGTTTATCTCGATTTATCCTCATTCACCTTTTTGTTATTTTCTTACCTTACTCCATTCCATCGCCCTATGCCCTTCATTTTGTTTACGTTTTTATTTATCATGTTACACCCTTCTACTATTTTTAATACTCCTTTTTCATTCATCCTATCCTTTGTTTTTTATTTTCTCGTCTAGCTGCTTTTCTAGTCCCCACTAAATACCTTCTCATTTCTAATCTACATATTTTTGTCTGCATATATTTAAAAAAACTTGCTTTATTTTGCTTTTCATATAATTTAATTATATTTCTCTATCACAACTCGAAAAAATCAATTTCATTCTTCATGGACCTGATTTGATTTAATTCTTATTTGTGTCAAAAATGATTATCTTTTGATATTTTCAAAGTACTATTTAAGCAAAACTTTCTCCATTTGTTATATTTTTTAATTTTTGCTATGAACAAATTTCGATCTCTTTTATTGCAATCCAGTCTTGCCGTTTCCACAGCTATTATGAGATTGTAATAATTTGACCTTCTCAAAATCTACTGTTTCCCTAATTCCTTTTTGCGTGTGCGCACATCCATCTTTTATAAATTACGACCCCCATTCCATCAGCCGATTCTATTTTGAACTGGACGGCAGCTTAAAATTTTAACTTGGCATTTAAATACACCTAGTAAGTAGTTCCTGAGATTATTGGCAATCTTGAAACCTGCACATTTTGGCCCTGGTCCTAATGGCAAATTCAAGTTTGCCTTATCGACAACAGTTCCACTATAAAAGTGTGAATTGGGTGAGACTTATTTAGCTTGAGATAAATATTTTCTGGGCGATTTATCTTGAATAGCGCCAGCTCTAATCATTTATAGAATAAAAGTATGTTGAATCGCTACATTCATTCGCCTAACACAATGACGACATTGTTTCGTATTTGCATATCACCTCGATTCTGATCGTTACAAATACGTTTGGGACCGCAATTGTTCACATCTTGTTTCCACATCGAACTTGAGGATGTCATGTCTGACCATTGCAAAGTTGTCATGTATAGCCCAGCTGGAGCTGATACGGTGGGCCGTTTATTTTCAGCTGATGGCATCATAGTGTCCTTTACCGGACACGAACGAAACCTCTGCCCTCGAGACATATCATTCCAACAATTCACTGTTCATTTTACCACATTCTAAACGAACAGATGTTTTTGACCTCTTGGTTCTACATGAATTGGTCCAGGAAAAGGCCATCTCTTTTCATTCGAATTTGGAAACAAGAGCCATTTTAATCAGTCTACATCGCTTGAGGCGTAGTAAGGACTGATAGGGAATCTCCCTCAATTAACTGAGTAGGCTTTTTGATACTAATGAATTTAACTTGGCTTTGCCACCCTAAAGGTTTGCTCATTTAAATTGGACTGCAGTTCCAGCCTTGCCCAGTTTCCCTTAAAAGGCCAAACGAGATTCGAGCTCGGGTTTTTAGCTTCGTGATTACACCTCACCATTCCGCTATCTGTTTGCGGGCACCAATGGGTTATGTGGTAGATGTGAATTAACCTCTCAAAATCGCTTTTTTACTAGGACTACCAACAAGGCAAATTTTTTTTGCCATAACAATGGATTGTGTTACTTATATCAGTACATCATGAATTCTAGGTAACATCAAGTAATACCTATCTACTTACAAAATAGTGCAAATTATATATTTTGGGCCAAGCT